TTCTATTGTAGAATCTGAGATCAATAGCAGTTGGCTTTTGGTGCTAGCTAATCTCCTTGTCGTTAATGTCTTGGTCCATCTTGTAGAGTAAGTAAGACATTGATGTGGTGTAGGTATTTTTCGAAGATGCTTTAGGAGTTGTTTGATTTCAGTATAAAATTTGGTTTGCTCTCCAATCGTTTTAACTGAATTTGGTTCGTCTAAAACGTGTTTTAAATATATTTGTATCGTTACTATCACACATAGTTGTGAGTAGTTTTTGCCTGATTTCTTCTTTTTTGGTCTGTCTTGTTTTTTTTTTTCTTCTGCGACCACGTGGGACATACGAAAAGTATGAAGAATTTTCTGGGCTTTTCACTTTTCCCTCCATATTTTCAAGCACACTGTTATGTGACAGTGTACATGTGTATTAATATGTGTGATAGTACTATCAGTTGTGACTAGTTTTTGCTTGATTTCTTCTTTTTTGGTCTGTATTATTTTTTCTTCTGCGACCACGTGGGACATACGAAAAGTATGAAAAATTTTCTGAGCTTTTCACTTTTGCCTCCATAATTTCAAGCACACTGTTATGATACAGTGTACACAGCGTTTAATTTTAAAATATACTTGATAATACAATGATGATTTTTCAAAAAAAGTATGCAGCAGTATTGAAGAACATCCGTATGGAACGGAGTCTCGAATTGAACTGAACTCTGACAAAAGAAAAATAAATTCTACAAAAATTAAATATATAAATTTCTTTTACGCAGTAAAATTTCTTTTTGTGCGATATATTCCAATATAACAGTATAAATATAAAAGACACAATATATACATCTATGCTTTAAAAAAACTTTGGAGTTTTTAGGAAGAATTGAAATTGGAAATTATTAACTATAGATTTTGCAACAGTAAATCGATGCCTTTGAGAGAAAAACTTTTGCTGTTGCGTCCTTGCTGACATTGATCGAGTGTTTTGAAAAAAAAATAGTTAAGCAACATTCTTCAATTCAGAATGCAAAACTTTTAAAACGTATTGATCCGAAGGGAACACATTATTTATCTGTGATATTCTCGTATTTGTTTCTTCGTATTTATTTCACGCAGTTGTAATGATAAATGTTAACAATATTTATTGCAACAATTATTCAAAATAATAACACAGAGAAAATTATTTATTTTCTATTTATTTAAACAATTTAGACCAAAGGCCGAGGTTTTCCTGCCCAAGTATTTATTTATTTCTTACTTTAATTACATTCCTAACTAATTGCAATATGTATTGCAACAATTATGTAATTATATAAATTATTTTTTATTGTGAAAGTGAAATTCAAAAGAAACTAAAGAAATGCCGTTAAAAATACAATAATTAGTTAATTGCAGGAAAAATCATTGTTACAATTTTGTCATTTGCTCTTTTCATCGACTTTTGCATTGTGCGTTTGTCATTGAATGTAGAATATTCGTATTTTTCAAGGTCGTTCATTCCAGTATTTTCGCTGTTATTGTAGTATATTTTCCTCTGTTCGTTATAATGCCGTGATATAGGTCACCAGTAACATTCGACGTGCTACGAAAAATGTATGTAGATGTCAATAATATGATATGCGCCTGACAATAAATTCATATCAGAATTAAAAATCATGCAGTTCCAAAACAGAAACAACATGCACACAACCGCTACGAAATTATATATTTATAACGAAACATATAAAGGATGCAAGTACAGTGAAACCTCGATTTTCAAATAATAAATTTAAAAGAAAGAATACCCAAACAGTCAAACTAACAATGATTTTCCACTTTTCTATTAACAAACCACATTTTATTTAAGTAATTTTATGATTGTTTAAAACTTTGTTACCTGAAAAAAAAAATATTTGCATTTCTTTTGAATTAAGTTGTATATATTTTTTTATTAAATTTCGGCAATATTTTCAATGAAAAATGTATGTTTTATCGGATCAATTTAGTAACAATATTATTTTATAAACTTATTTTATGTTATTCTGCTATAATTTGTTTCTTTTCGTTACAATATAAAAGAAAAATCTATACAAAGGTAGGTTCATACTAATTTATTGTTTCCAATTGCAAAATATACTTATAAGTATCGTCAGAAGACGATAAAAGGTTAAATAATTGTATATATTTTTATTATTTTTGTATACGTATAATGTGCGTAAATAACAGTATAAAAATTTAAATAACTTTGGTGAACGGATTATATAATTTTTCCTCAATTTTTATAGTGAAAATTATTTCGGTTCTCGAATATCCTTTTGCCAAAAAGAATATGTTCTATGGTCGAAATTCCAAAATATATAATTGTCTTCACAAAACAATGCATCGTACAAATATGCATCTCACAAAACATTGCAATAAAGATTAATGGAATGCAAAGCGAGGCAGCTCCGACGAAGACGCAATAAACAGTATGAATTTCAGAACGGTCATGATGTCTATTATGTTTATACCGTGCAGTGTGTTTATAATAAATATTTGATGAAACCACTTCACATCAAAGCGAACTGAAGGTTAGAGAAGAGGGAAAAGATATACATATATTGGCAGCATTGTGAAGGGGATCTTCTCTGGATTAAAGCCAAGACGGGGACGCATCTAAAATGCAGCCGGATGTCGTTGTCCTTTTCTTTCACATTTCTTTTTATTCCAACCTTTTGGTCGCTCACTTCCGGGACACTTATTTATTCACTAAACTTTTTAACGCTCTGAGACTCTCCAAATTTATATTTCCTCACATAAGTTCGGCAATTGCTAGTTTAGTTTCGCGATTTAATTAAGTATTAAAACTTGACAACTTTCTGCATAAAATACAATTATAAGTTGACGAATACATTTACTTTTATATACTTAATGTTTGCCTTTCTAACGTATTTATGCTCTATTTTTTTTCGACACAACTTTCACAACTTTGCACAACTTTCCGCATAAATATCTATTTGAAGAAATATTAAAACTACATGACATGAATAAAGTTGTAAATCTATACAAAATTCGTTAATTTCACTCATTTAAAATATCATAAATGTATGTATATTTTTTAGAATTTACTAGAATCAAAATAATAAATAAAAATTTCAATTCAACAAAATATTAATATTTTGTATAAATATTAAAACTTATGAGAAATACATATTTTTACACCCAACCATATTTATTTATCATTAAAGATTTGTGTGAAATAGAAACATTCCAGAAATATAGCAATATTTCTTAAATTTTGTGTAACAAAACATATTAATAAAGATGATAATTCTTCTCATCCCGTGATTCAATAATTACTGTTGAATTAATTTTCTTTTTAACATTCTAATGTAAACATCTTCGAGATTTTATTGCCCTCAACATAAAAGATAACATCTTTTAAATGACTCCCGTTTTACCTCTACACAAAAACGTTAAGGCTTAGTCGCTTCGTTTGTCATTCGAATTTCCTGAAGAATATTGCCGTTCAACTCAGTAAAGGTTCGGCGTTTATTGAAACTCAAATATCGCCATAAAAATAAATCTGGGACCGTCAGATTATGAGAACATGCTGTTAACGAAACTTTGCATTATTGAAAATTATTTTTTCTCCGAATATTTGCCTTAACAGCTGCATGGAATCTTAGGCTGAGTAAGCCCACATTCCAGGTATGTTCTCAGCACTAGAAAACACAAAGTTTCTTAAAATTTGCCGATATCTTTCGCGTGACCGATTTCCCATTATCATCTTCGAAGAAATACGCACCTAATAGCACCCTTTCTAATGTCAGTTTACCCTTAAGATTTTAAAAATCTGAAGAAAAAAAAATAGCAAATAAGTTATTTAATTTTTAAAGTGACTTTTGGCCCTCCCAATAGAAGTAGTAATATATTTATACTGTTATGTCTGACTAGGGTTTCTACAAAAAAAACGGTTTTTGAATCACAACTTCCCAAGAAACGAAAAAAGACAATTTTCACTAAAAAAGAAAATCAACAAAAATAAACATTCTGTAATGAGAAAATTATTATTAGTATGAAATAATAAATGAAATAATGAAAAATTAATTTAATCTGTTGTTTTAAGATAAAAACGTAAGAGGCTAGATGTTTATTTCTTAGTTTCTGTTAGAAAATGTGAATGAGACTCAAACAAGTCTATGTATTGCAAACTATGGCTTGTTTTTCTTCTTCTATTAAATATTTTGGATAAAATCTTGATAATATTTGTCCAGATAACTTAATAATAACACTTTTTGAAACAAGTGACTGAAATATAAGCTAGACGATCCAAAAAATTCTGTGTATTTTTGTAAATTCGTGTCACTAAAGCAAGTAATATCTTAGAACTAAGTTCAATTTTCAATTTTTTTCATTCATTCATTACGTAACACAAATTCAAATATGTCTTCACTTATTAATAAATGTTGTCCTAAGACCTCTTTCTACCATGGCCTTTCAACATTTTCATCTTGGTATTTATTCCATTGACAATTTTGTATCAAAATGTTAATTTCTTTTTCAAAATTTTTAATCTAGGACCAATAACCAGTTTTGTAGTTGAAATATCTAGTTTTTGAATTATATAAATGTCTTAAAAAAAATGACTAAACTTTAATACAGAATATAAACAAATATCTAAACAAAACTGTCTTCAATGGTAAAAAATATGGCTAAAAAGATCAAATAATGAAAAGCTTATTTCGGAACAAAGTAAACTTTTATTAAATAAATATTTTAAATTAAGAATCTAAAGTTAACTAATACGGATAACTTAATTTCTATTTGGGAATTTGGGACTTTGTTATATAGAAATTTCGCTATCAGAGATAATGTTAACTGAGGTTTAAATGGTATAAACATTATCAAACAATAACGAAAAAGTTATTTTTTTTTTGATAAATGTGTGTGCATTCAAAAGAGGTTATATTTAAATTAGATTTATTTTTCATTGTGTTTGGGTTGCAGAAACAAATTATTTTAATTACGTAACAAAGAAGAGAAACAATTTAGATAACATTTAGAATGTGGCTCGTGTATTTCAGCTCCAAATAGATTAGGCCCTCATAGTAGGCAGACAAGTAGTAATAGCGAGGGGAACAGAGAATCCTCATTGGACGACTCCGGTGTGGTGGACGACCACGAGGATGGATACCTGACGTCTGAGGATACGACGCAAAATCCACAAGTAATTAGAGTAAGCATACAGCGAAACAAATGAAACGGCACGACCGCAAATTCTGATTACATAATGTTGCTTTTGTTCCGTAGCGAGTTGAAGTCACTCCAGTCACCTTAGCTGTTAGTCCAAAAGAAATCAAAGTCATTAAGTGCAACGGCGTAGGAAGTTGCAAGAAGAAAAAACATAACATGTACTCGCTGCCAGCTGACTACCTCTCCCACATAGTCGTAATTGGTAATTAGCAGATTTTCATTTCTATATTTTCATTTCGCTAATTAGCATTAGCCTTTTTACTATACATTTGTTTTTGTTTTCTGTTTCCTTTGGTCAGACGATCTTCCAGACAGAAACTGCCCTGGATGCGAACGATGTTGCATGGACTATACGGGATGGCTACAGTTCCAGCAGATGCTGTATGGAATTGTACGTGATCCATTGTTCGAGTTGGCGATTACAGTTTGCATAGTATTAAACACAATGTTCCTGGCTATGGAGCACCACGGCATGAGCGAGAACATACTTAGGGCACTAGATATTGGCAATAAGGTAAGCACACTGACACCGTATCCCGATGTAATTAAATCAATTCAGAGCGCTGCGCGAAGGATCGAACATTCGATACACGCCCTACCGAAACATTTCTGTGATATGATATTGTCCTTTAAACATGATCGTTCAGCACATATTTAGTGACTTTTAAACATCAAAATCATATAAATTTCAATTTCTACAATTTTTCAATAAATAATTTATTAAATATTGCTGTAATACGCGTTCAAAGTTGATTAATTGAAATTAGAACGTTCGAAAAAGCAGTGTTTCCACATTTCATTGATTTACTCGAAAACTATAATAGATAGAATGAATCCAATATATGCATATGAAAGCTGAATGTTTGGGGAATCCATCAAGTATAGATACATTCCAGTGCTCTTATCCATATTGCTGTAATGCGCGTTCAATTTTGAAAAAGCTATGTTTTCACATTTCATTGATTT